TCCGATCATGAAAGGTCGCGATCTCTCTTTCGCGATCCCCCCTCCGCCCACTCCCGCGCGCGAAGCGTAGCGTCCAATCGCGAACTATAGACGCCAATCACTCCCGCCTTCCTCTTTTGTGAATAAAGCATCTTTTCGCTCCCTCTTGTTCGTGATAAAAGGTATCGCACGACTCTCCTTCAGTTTAAACGAAGTCACGGTGTTCTTCTTCGGGTTTCCTCGAGACAGAGGAAGGAAAGTGCAAGCAGTGTGTGCATGCTTGGCAGAAGGAAGAAGAAAGAAGAAAAAAGAAGATTGTTCTCCCTTGGTTTCTTCTTAGTGGCTTGTGGCAGAAGCAAAATTGGATTTATTTCTCTTGTAAGTTTATCTCCTTTGGTGTATCTCGTTGTAGAGAGAGAAGAATAGAGAGAGAATAAGGGAGAGCAACGAAGTGAGAGATTCCTCTTATAAGTTGAGATGATCTATTGGTGTTAATTCCTCAAGTAGTAAAATCCTCTGCAACTCTGTGGAATGTAGGCAATTTGCCGAATCACGTAAATCTGTGTGTTCCACTGTGCTGTTCTTTTGGTGTTAATTTTCTCATTCTATTTTTTGCTTCGTCGATCGTTCTCCTGTTTTATATATATATATATATATACACACACCGCAATAACTTGTATAATATATATCCCACAACAACTGGTATCTGAACTTTGTTCAGATCTGAGGAAGAATGATGGTTGTAGATGAAGTGAAGGTTTCAGGGATCGAGAAGTTTGATGACACAGATTTTGGTTATTGGAGGATACAGATAGAGAATTATCTCTATGAGAATAAACTTTATCTTCTATTATTGGGAAAAAGACTTGAAATGATGGATGAGGCTGAATGAAATTTGTTTGATCGACAAGTTCTGGGGTTATTCGATTGAATTCGATTGACCCTAACCCTATCGAGGTCCGTTACACACAATGTCATCAAGGAGAGGACGACTACAGATCTCATGGAAGTCTTATCAGGTATGTATGAAAAGCCATCGGCGAATAACAAGGTGTACTTGATGAAAATGTTATTCAATTTGAAGATGACGGAAGGTGTTTCTATTTCTCAACACATGAACGATTTCAATACTATCCCAAACCAATTGTCGTCTGTTAAAATTCATTTTGATGATGATATACGTGCGCTGATATTGTTGGTATCATTGTCAAATAGTTGAGAAGCCTTGATGATAGTAATCAGTGGTTCTGCAGGTAAATTTAAACTGAAATACGATGATATTCGTGATTTGATTTTGGTTGAGGAAGTTCGCAGGAAAGATTCTGGCGAGATCTCAAGTATGAGTTCGGCACTGAATGTTGATTTCAAAGGGAGATGACAGGAGAAGAACTCAAATAAAGGGTGAACAAAATCAAATTCTGGTCAGCAGACAACCTGCTGGAATTGTGGCAAGGTTGGTCACATAAAGAGGAACTGCAGGAATCTTAAGAATAAAGAGAATGATGACAAATAATGATAGTGCAAATCTGGTATCTGAAGAAGTACAAGATGCATTATTACTGACAGTTCATAGTTTTATTAATGATAGAAGTGAAAAAACGTGGGTCTGGGGCACCTATTTCTATTATTTCACAAATAGAATGTGGAGAACCACAGAGTTATGAAGAAATCTTGCAAGATGAAAGTTCGAGCAAATGAGAGCTGACAGAACTTTCACCAAGGAAGAAAACATTACACAACAAGTGAGTGTACAAGGTGAATACTAAGCATGATGTCAATAAGAGATACAAGGCTAGACTTATTGGAAGAGGCTTTCAGCAGAGGCAGGATATCACCCATGGAGTAGGAGTTGTAAGCAAAGACAAGAGTAATTCAGGAAATAGCTTGAAGGTGCAAGGCTATGTGGACCATACTGATATGTTGACCGAGGGTGTTACTCTTGAGGAACTGAAGTTGTGCACATCTTCAGTTGATCTTCTGACAGGGCTTTGAGTGACAGAAGTGGAGAATTCATGGTGGAGGTTTCATGGTGGAGGATTCATGTTTGAAGAAAAGGGCGACACCGCTAGTGGAGGATATCAGTTTGAGGAAGAAGACATTGCAACTGATGCAATGGTCTCAAAGTGGGAGATTTGTTATGTTGGAGCCCAGTTCGGACCCCCTCCCACTTCCGCTGCGAAAGGTCGTGATCACTCGTTCGCGATCCCGCCTCCGCCCACTCTCGCGTGCGAACCGAAGCATCCAGTCACGAACCGTAGGTGCCAACCTCTCATACCTTCCTATTTTGTGAAGCGAAGCATCTCTTCGCTTCCTCTTGTTCGTGATAAAAGGTATCACACGACTCTCCTTCAAATTAAGCGAAGTCACGGTGTTCTTTTTCGGGTTTCCTCAGGATAGAGGAAGAGAAAGTGCAAGCAGTGTGTGTGTGCTTGACAGAAGAAGAAGAAGAAAGAAGAAGATTGTTCTCCCATGGCTTCTTCTTGGTGGCTTGTGGCAGAAGAGAAATTTGATTTATTTCTCTTGTAAATTTATCTTCTTCAGTATACCTCGGTGTAGAGTTTCTTCGTTGTATCTCAGTATAGAGAGAGAAGAACAAAGAGAGAAGAAGAGAGGGCAACGAAGTGAGAGATTCCTCTTGTAAGTCGAGCTGATCGACTGTTGTAAATTCCTCAAGTAGTAAAATCCTCTGCAACCTGTGGAAGTAGACAATTTGCCAAACCACGTAAATCTGTGTGTTCCGTTGTGTTGTTCTTTTGGTGTGAATTTTCTCGTTCTATTTTTCGTTTTGTCGATTATTCTCCTGTTTGATAATATATATATATATATATATATATGTATATCTCGCAACAAATCTCATATCTTGGATAGCTAAGAAACAACAAAAGTGTATATCTCTCAACAGGTCTATCAGGGTTGGAAGGCGTCAGGTTCATCTAAGGATCTAATCAGATGGATTATTCACGGAGTGATTTACCATTTATCCATTGTGACTCATTGTCTTCCCTTTACGTTGGGGGCTGGTGAGCTGAGTTTATGGTCCTAGGTTGTCCCTGGTAGGTCCCGTGGGGCCACATCACCACTTTCGTCATTCACAAGATGCTAAAAAAAATGAAAAGATCTGGGAACCATAGCATACTTTATAACTACAAACGACCACTTCTTATTTTTAAATAGCATCATTTACAAAAAGTTATCTCATATAAAAGAGTATATAGTATCAGAAAAAGTTTGTCTATTTTAGATCATCATTAATTAGAAATATGAAATAGGTCTTCATACATAATTAACTCATATTTTACTAAATAAAAAAATTTCATTTATTCAATTTTAATTAGATCGCTTTAAAGGTATATATTTTAAAATAATACAAAATTAATTACTTGTGGGCAATATATTTAATTATTTTCTCTACAATCTTTCACTTGGCCACATATGTTTCTTAGAAAATGTGTATGACTTAATGTGCTCAATTTTTCTATTATTTTAAATAAAGGTATATCAAAATATTCTTGTTCATTAATTATATTAACATAAGATCAAACCAATTTTTGTTACATTTATCATAACTAAATACATCGATAATCATGCATATTAATATAAATAAATGGCATTATAAAAATTACATATAATGTGATCTAAAAATGTCTAGTTTTAACTAGACCAACTTTATTTCATAATGAATTCAACTTTTTAAAATTCAGAGTGAAATAAATGAAATTCTTTATTTCTATAAAAATATCCATAAATATAAAATATACAAATTAACATATAAAAATGAAGTCTGCTTAAACTAGCATATTATCAAAATAACAAAATATTCCAGCTCTAGCATATATAAAAAATAACATATAAAAATGAAATCTCCTTCCCAACATCGCATTGAATCTTCTCCAGAGTCTCCCGGATTGAGTTGAACAACTCCTTTAGCCAACCTCTTTTTCTTCTGATAAACAACCCTCATCTTCAGGTCGGTGTTGTCTTATTCCAAGGGTAGCCAACAATTTAGCCTAGTCTGCAGGTTTTGGTGCTGACTTAGACCCTTTCTCCATAGTGGAATCGCTAAAGCCAAGTGAGCGCAAGGTAGAACAGACTTGAGATGATAGAACTACCCCCTATGCCTTATATAAGCGTCGCAGCCATGAAAATCTAGGGATTCTATTTATTGCATTAAATTATGACAATTAAGATTTGATTTATTGCATTAATTTTTTTTTTTATTCTTGTTGTAGCTGTCACTATCAATGAGCAACAATACTAGAGAACTTAATATGTACACCGAGAATGGCCTTCATAAATCTTGAGAAAATCTGAAGGTTCAGATCAAAAGGGGCAAATCAAAGAATATTCCTCTTTTATAAAAAGCTAAGTGCTCATAAATTTGACTAGTTGTAGAACTAATGATCGACCAAAGAACTGCCAACTGGCTAAAGGGCCGCGTAGGTCAGATAAAATTTACTAAATGATCGAACAAATGTTCAATACCCCCAACAATCTCACAAGCTTCAACGTGAGACTCTCGCAACATTTCTCCCAAAAATTATCAAAGAACAAGCGAGCCGATCAGCAATCACTCTTCAAGCCGATTGAAATCCAAGAGTGAAGACCGGTTGGTATATGGACGAAATAGCAGACCGACACCAGTGACGTCGACCGACTCAAAGACGTGCCGACCGAAAGATCCATGAGTATTAATGGACACCAAAATCAATTATGAATATGAAAAGACATGACAAAAGATAATAAAATCATGTCCCCAATTAAAATAGGGGCATATATGTAATTTTTCACTAATATAACCTCATCTTTTTGTAAATAGTAATCTAATGCATATAAAATATAGGCTTTTGACATGTCTTACTAAACCTATACTACGTAAGTAGATATCTCTCCCCGTCCTTCTTTTATCCTTTCAAATATAATATATAAAGAACAGTCTATGTGTGTTTTTTTCTTTCATCATTTCTTTCTCTCCACTTCACCCTCGAGGTCCCTACCTGCCCAATCTATGATCTCTGAGCATACCTCACATGATAAATTTACATTTAACATATAACAAATAATATACATTTGGTAAATTATTTATGCTCATATATTTATTTGTTTTTAACAGTGTTAATTATGACTATTATGAATCATAACCTTTTTCATATATATTTGTTTTTATATGTCTATGATTAAATGAAGGTTTATTTGAATTTCAAACAACCAAATGCCATATATAAAATAAAATTATTACTGTCGTGGATTATTGTTGCCCGTTGGGATATCATCTCCGGATGTGCAATTGCCCCAAATAGGCCGTCAAAGCTTATGATCCGTTAGATAGATCATTAGCGGTAGCCGCATGCTTACGCTCGCCGCCGGTGTCCGATCTCCGCATAGAACCCAGAGACTTCCAGATGCAGCTCAAAGCTTCTGCTCTCGAATTAAAAGAGGATAATTGGCGGTCACGTCGATCGATCGTTTTGTCGCTCGAATTGGAGGGCAGATGGCCGGCTATTACCTTTGGAAAAGCTTCAGCGAGGACGAAGACCGGCCGGAGAAGCCTCGGCGGTGTGGGGTGACGGAGATTCGGAGTCCTGAGTACAGTATCATGAGGCATGACGCTC